ATCTATCGTGCCAAATATTTACACTAATACATTTTTAAATGTATTGATAATAAACACATTACATATTTACATAAATCTCTTTTAATGAAAATAAATATATTTTCCACCAAAAATAAAGGAAGAAAGATGAGAAAACTGGTATTGCTTTACATATCCAAATCAAACCCAACCATCTAGTTGATTCCAACCCAGAGAGACCTGATACAGGATTTTGAAGCCTGTAAACGGTACAGGAATAGACAGCCTCATCTTTCACCAAGCAAGCAGGGGGTGGATTTGAACTGCTGACCTTGTGATCAGCTGCCCAACACCTCACCACTGTGCCACCAGGGCTCTTTGTTTACATATAAATTTCTGTAAGTGTCTGGTTTAATTGAAGACATCGGATAGCTGGTTTTGTATTCTGTGAATCGTGACATTATGTTGATCGAAGTAAATATAAAAACTTCATTTCATAGATATTTCCTTGAAAAAGGAAAAGCACTTTAACAGTCTTTTCGGAAAACTGAGGCTATTATTCTTGGGCATTACACCTACAGTACAAGCGATAGTTTTTAAAGGTGGCAATGTGGAATTTGCAGCCCTGTCAACGCACTTTATCCTCTGTGTCATTATGGTCATGGCACAGCTTACACTCTGAATGGACTCCTCCTCACGCTTGATTTGCAGTCATGCGTATGGTTATAAAACAGTGGCTCCCTGAGTTATGCTGTCCACATGTGGAAATTTCATTCTGTGATAACAAAACACTGAAACATTTTAATATCACTTTTTTTCAGTCTTTTAAGTATTGGGAAAGTCTTGATCTCTCAATAAAAATTTCCAATTTTTTCATTATGATTTGAAAATTCAAATTTTCTCATTGACAACTAATGCCCTCTCTCTTTTTTTCCACTGAAGATAATCTCATTCCTTTCGTTTGGGGGTAAATATCTGCCAAATTGGGGCCCTGGTGGTGGAGTGGGGTCAGTGTAGGGCTGGTAACCATCCAGTCCCCATTAGAAAGCATCCTCCACTTCAGGGAGAAAGATAAGGCTCCCACTCTCATAAAACGTTACAGCCAGGGCAGCCCACAGGGCCGGCCCCACCCTGCCCTCTAGGGGCCAATGAGGTGAACTTGACTCAATAGCAGAGCTTGGACCTTGAATTTGCCAATTGGCCCAGCCTATCAGACCTCTCTCAAGCAAACTGGTGTTTCAGTTAAGGACATTAGAAGTTCAGCTCCCAGGTTAATTGTACAATTGCTTTTTCCTGGAACAGCCATGAGACAACCATTGCTATGTACACACAGACATGTTGTATGTCTATGTCGCATGTCTTGCTTGATAGGAAAGAGTCCCGAGTCATGTCCTCTAGGACCAAGATTTAATAAAAGTAACCATCTTTACTTCTTCATCAGAGAAAAACTATTTGTTCTTTTTTTAAAGATCACACTGTGACCATGAGGCATACAATTACCACTACTACAATTAGGTCACACTGTTGTCATCAGCGTCTTGCTTTTTCGGTGCAAATGTGAATACAGTAGAATAATCTCTCGGTAGGATCACTCCCTGGGTCCTTGTGTTAATGACCTTGGCTGCTAAGAGCAAGGCTGGAGGTGGGAGCCCACTCAGAAGCATCTTGGAAGAAGGCTGACGCTCTCCGTCTGCAGGATCAGCCCCTGAGAGCCCTGGGTGGCGCTTCTACCCTGACACGCACACGCGGGGTCTCTAGGCGTTGAAATCAACGCAATGGCAACTCGTCACTCCGAGTAACGCGACTGCCGCGAGTTTGGTGTTTTGAGCCTGTCTGTCAGTTTGCCGCACGGTGGTGGCTTGCAATACGTGTTGCTGTGATGTGGAAGCTATTCCACCGGCCTTTCAGAGAGCAGCGGGATCCCGCTCAGTCTGGAAGCTCCGCACCGAGACAGACTTGGAGGAGAGCCCTGTGGTCTACCGTGGGCACAACCCGCCCACGCGTATCGTGCACATAGGAAACTGACATGCGCGGGGGTTGCGTGGTTTGCAATAATAATAATAAAACTGAATGATAGGGATGTTATTTATGTAAAAATATGATACTTCTGGAAGTTATCCAATGAAAATCTTATGGCTCATAATGGAACACCGTCTAGTGTGCTGGAAGATGTGCCCCATGATGTTACAAGGCGCTGCACAATAGCTGCGCCCGGGACTAAAAATACCGATATTCACGAGATGGGATGGGGCCGGGCGCTGTTTTACTCTGGCACAGAGGACGTTGGCGTGGAGAATTAGAGCCAGCTGGTCGTCATGGCAACTAACAGCATTAGACTAGAAATAGTGGCCCTGTCACCTGAAGGACTCTACTGAAGAGCTGTTGTCTCAAAAGACAAGAACCGTGTCAGGAGCAGACATCAAACAGAGACTCCTGGGGAGGGAGGCGGTTGACTGGCAGAACTGTTGGGGGTCACAGTAGCTCTGCTATTCAGGACCCAAACCACTTCTGGGCCAAACATCAAAGCGGGCCAAATCTCTTTGGAAGCCAACACAATGACTCAGAAAACTCGATGGCTGTATGTTTGGTTAAGTTCATATAACATGGTCAGTTCTGTTCATAACCGTCTGCTAATTAAGGCATCTTCTGAGACCATCGTGGGAACCTTCATAACCAGCAGTGAGCAAGTCTTCATTTGAAATCGAGACATCCTGACCCTGGTCTTCTTCGCTGTTATATGAGCAGTCACCCTTTGACACTGGCCTTCTTTGGAAATGAATGTCTTCACTTACTTTAAAGTGGAGTTTGGTTTAGGGCTGAAGTCATCCTGTTCAGAGTGTCAGCACCTTGGTGTTCTCTGAGCTTCACCCCCACGGTAATAAATGAGCTGCGCTAACTCACTGCTTCTCCACCGCACGGTTTCAACTAGTTTCTGTTCCAGGGACTGGCCTCCAGTTTATCCTTTCAGGACCCATGGACAAAGACTCGTGGCGTTTAACATTCCTCTTAGAAAAGCAATTTCTTCTTGTGTATTTTCTAATGAAAAGTATCTTTCGCTCTGTACTGTAAAAAATACCTCCCAATTCAATTCCTCAAGCCTTTAGTGAGTGTGGTGCCTGGATTATACATTTCAAGAGTTACTTAAGTGAGACATCGCCTGTCTTCATGGAGGTTAGAATCTGTCAGAGAAGTCAAATGTATCAGTGGTTAATGGCAAAGTGTCTGATAAATTCTATTAAAAAAGAGATAACGCACGGTGGCCGATCAGAAGAGGAAGAAGTGAAGTGGGGAAATAGGAAAGATGTCAGGTGTGGGGTACCAGCCCCACAATCGAGTGGATCCAAGGGGCGGTGGTGCAATTGAGGGGTAAAATTACAGACATCAGACAAGATAAGGCATGCAAGTGATCATGTCCGGGACCTCCATGACTTCAGGAGCCAGGACCATGCAGAGAGAGAGAGAGAATATATTTCCTACCAAGACTTATATACACTGGGGGCGGGGGGAGGGGCGTGCGTGCAAGCCCCCTGACCCCACGTATGTACAGAGTGGGCTGTACCTTAACCCTATAGGTTCCTGAGTACATTAGAAGAGTAACCTAACACCAGTACCCAGGGCAGGTAAGGGGGAGCGGCTGTCTTCAGACCATATAGAGCAATAGCACATGTCTGCTCCCATAGATAAAGCTGCCGACTACATAGCAATGTGCTTGTAAGAGGTAACTAATGTAGCGCTACTATGGGAGGACATAGAGGGGAAGAACATTAATTATGAGAATGTGATTGGGACTCACCCCAACTCACAAGAGTGAAGGGCTCCCTCCCCACCAGAAACCCAGCTTGCCAGGCTTCTTAATATTTGAGAATAAAGGTTTCATCCATACACACTCTTTTCCAGTTCTATACACCCCACAGTCCTGGAAGTCACATTGTGAAGTTTGAATAGAACTTCCATTGGCAATGATGGGCAAAGCAAGACCTTCATTCATCGTGAGAGAGAGCCACGTGAACAAAGATATAAAGGGTCATGGTGCTTTGTGAAAGGGGCGTGTAATTTGGTCAAAAGACCTCTTTTAAGTGTGAAAAAACCAAGATGTCCCTTTGATGACTGAAGTGCACCTGACCCAAGCCACGGTGTTTTCAGTCATCTCACCTGCATGTGAAAGCTGGACAATAACCAAGAGAGACGGAAGAAGAATTGTGATCTTTGAATTATGGTGGAAGGAGCTTGCTACAGACCCCGCCCGCAGAGCATGGGAGGCAAGGTGTCTGCCTGCCGTATCAGAGATGTTAGAGAGAAACTGCGGGTATCACCCAGCTTCACGGCAGGAGACCCACCTAGCCAAATTTGCAGAACCTCAGCCTCTGTTCTCCCTGCAGTTGGTTTGACTAACCAAGAGAAGGCTCAGAAGCCCTCACAGCAGTTTGTTCATTCTAAAAAGCAGGAGCCTCTTATTGAAAAAGTAATTCAGTTTTTTTGGGGTTTTTTGTTGTTTTTTTCATGCTACGATAGTATTTTATTTTCCAAGGGCCCATACAGCAAACATTAAGCCAAGCATGAGCTTTAATCCTGTGGGCCAAAATTCCCATATTTAGGAAGAAAAAAGCAAACTGTGATCTATACACAAGGAACATAACTAAAGGCTCATGTTAATCACATAGTCGTTTTTCATTTCTATAGCACAGAACTCAAACGTCACTGGTCTTTCAGGTCCTTCTGGATGTCCCACAGTGTCTGCACTCTTCTTGAGTTGAGCAACCTCATCCTCCTTCAGCGTCTGGTTGATAACACGGGTCAAGCCCCGAGCATACAGAATACAGGGGAGGCTCAGAAAGACATTCTCAATGCCATACATCCCCTGCACCAGCGTGGACACTGGATGCATCCTGGAGAGATTTTTGAACATCGATTCAATAAGATCAGCTACACTTAATCCAATAGCCCAGTTGGTGTATCGCTTTAGCTTGATGACTTCATTGGCACTTTCAACCACCATTTTATGCACTTCTCTCCAATTTTCACGGTCATTGTCTGTCCCCATCTCAGTTCAGTTCCTGGAGAGAAGCCCCTGCCACATTCATGCCACTCCACACGGCCACACTCGAGTCTCCATGCGCTCCCAACATCCATCCATGGCAGCTGCTGGGATGAATGCCAAGTTTTTCAGCCATCAGATAGCGAAATCCAGCAGAATCCAGGTTACAGTCACTTCCGATCACACGGTGCTTGGGCAATCCACTTAGTTTCCAGGTAACATATGTAAGAATATCCACTGGGTTGGACACCACAATTATGATGCAGTCGGGGCTGTACTTGACGATCTGAGGAATAATGAACTTGAAGACATTGACATTCCTCTGCACCAGATTGAGCCGACTCTCCGCCTCTTGCTGACGGACTCCTGCAGTCACCACCACGGTCTTAGAAGTGGCCGTCACAGAGGAATCTTTATCCGCTACGGTTTTAGGTGCCTGGAGAAATAAGCTCCCATGCTGCAGATCCATCATTTCTCCTTTGAGTTTATCTTCCAAAACATCCACAAGGGCCAGTTCATCAGCCAGGGACTTTCCCAGAATGCTGATGGCACATGCCATACCCGCTTGTCCAACCCGGACCACAGTGATCTTATTGTTTGGAACCAGTGCCTCTTCTGCAGCGGGTACAATTGGCTTGTCCTTAAGGGTTGCCATCCTGAACAAGAGAGGGAAGTCGCTCCAGGCAGCAAGTCGAGGGGAGCGAGGACCAGAAGTGGGCTGGCAGCTGCGTCTCTACAGTGTTTATCAGGAAGTTTTTTTGTTTTGTTTTTCTTTTTTTAGTCAGTGAGAGAGTGAGTCAGTGAGAGTGAGACAGTGAGAGTGAGTCAGTGAGAGAGTGAGACAGTGAGAGAGTGAGGCAGTGAGACAGTGAGAGAGTGAGACAGTGAGAGTGAGGCAGTGAGAGAGTGAGACAGTGAGAGAGTGAGGCAGTGAGAGTGTGAGACAGTGAGAGAGTGAGGCAGTGAGTGAGTGAGACAGTGAGACAGTGAGAGAGTGAGACAGTGAGAGAGGGAGACAGTGAGAGAGGGAGACAGTGAGGCAGTGAGAGAGTGAGACAGTGAGAGAGTCGTTTATCAGGAAGTTTTAACCTAAGTACTCAGGGAATTAAAATTGATACTGGAGTTGATCAGATTTGCAAGGAAAAGCCTAAAGCTGTGATTAAATCAGAAACTAAGAGCGATGATTGGGGTCCTCTACCTAAAAGAACTATGGAATGTCTATTAGGAAAGTCCAACATAAATTCTCAAGGTGTTGCTAGATCAGGATTATGAAGAAATTAAGGCAGTGATGAAATCTGATATACCGTGGTTTATAAACAAGGAAAATTGCTTAAGCCAATTTTTGTTTCCTTGCATTTCTAGAGTAAAAATGCATACTGACCAGGAAAGAGTACTTGAGTACTTTAAATGAGGGGTCTTCTGGAATGCTGTTGTGGGGAAACCACAGCGCCCCCACATGGAATTAGAAATTGAAATTGAAGGGAAAGGTTTTTAAACATTGGACCTGGTATCATTGCCTTAGGGCATTCAGGAGGGCCTAAGACCCTCCCATTAACTTCCCCTAAAACAACGTGGAGGGAATGAGTGAAGTTAACATGTGTCCCACCGCCAGTGAGCCATTTATCTCCTTAGTGTTGCCAAATGAGGTCATGAAGCTGCGACCTGATTGACTGGATAAACTCTACCCCTTCACTCTTTTTTTTTCCCCCCTTCACTCTTAAGAGTCTCAAATTGATAACAGATTATGTAACTACCACAAGCTGCTAATTGCAAGGTCGGCAGTTTGAAACCATCAGCCTCTGCTCAGGAGAAAGACGGAGCTTTCTACTCCCACAAAGAGTTAGCGTCTCAGAAACTCACAGGGTCAGGGTCAGCTCTACCCCGTCCTACAGGGTTGCTATGAGCTGGCATCAACTGGATGGCAGTGAGTGAGTCTCTCTCGTTAGAAAGTATTTTGAAATGGCCACTGACTTGAAAATTGTCAGTCAGGTGATGCTAACTGGGATCCGTACGTCAGCCTGTGGATTTTACAGAACAGACCAGGAGCTGTTACCTCCCCTTGTGAATTTGCACTTACTGTTTTCTATCAGAATCTATGGTTTTCACCCAAACACAGAGCCCTGTCCTTGATTGCCCCAGAGGCAAAAGGCCATAGGGAGTCGCCTTTTAGTTTTCTCTGAGTCATAAACACCTCGAATGGAACATTATGGGGTTTAGACCAGGTTTTGCACAGACCAATGGGTGCCTTCTTTGTATGAGTTTGCTTGCAATTGACAGCCAGCCTCGTGCTCTGACCTGTTCACGGCCACCTTATCCTTCCTTGGATTTTGCACCGGGCTTGTTGACCCCGGGAGGTTTTTTTATTGGTTTTCTTGTTCAACCCTTGGCGGGGTTTTTCGGTTTCCGGGGCCTCGGGGTTCTTTGAAGTTGGACGGCCTTTCTTGAGGCCCCTTGTTGCCCGGTTCTTGGGCCGGCTTGAGGGGGGAGTTGAAGGGAGGGGCATTCTTCGTTAAGTTTCTTGGTTTTTTTTCCAAGGGGGTTGAATTTCGGTTGGGGGTTGGGCTTCTTTGGTTTGCCCTTGGGGAGTTGTTGGGCCCGGGGTTTCTTCTTGACTTGGGCCCGGGGTTTCCAGGCCTCTGGCAGTTGCTCCTTCAGCTCTCCTTTGGATCCCACTTCTGACACCACGCAATGTCATACAGCAGAATGGCAGGGCCTAGTTGAAATTAAACATGAGGAGATTTTATTGAGAGACAGGACAGTTTGCAAACTGGGAATCATAAAATCCGGAGAATTCTAAACTAAGTGATCCAAGGAGAAGATAATGCAGGGAGTTTTTCTAAGAACATATAAGTAATTTCAGTAAAAATTCAGGATGGGGTGGCATTTAGGTAATGGTTACAAAATTAGATGCAACTTTTAAAAAGTTAGAGAGTTATTATTAAGTTGGATATACTTGTCTTCAAAACAATCATGAGACCCTGAAATCTGAATGAACAAATTGTGCTGCCTGTTAATACTGAACCACAAAGCAGAGACAGGGATTGAATCATTTTACAAGCACTTTATTCAAATGCCAACAATCTGAGAAGGAGGCAGGTAAAAATCCTAAAAAACTACCTTACAGCTCATCTCGAGCCAACAGGTTTTATAGTATGGAGGAGAGCAGGGGAGTGACAGGACCTGGGCTGAGGTCATCTTTTGTGTAGGAATGAGGTCGAGCTGTCCCCAAGGTTCTTGAAGGTCTTGGTGTTTGTTCTTTCTGCTGACCACCGTCCCCAGAACTCACCTGTTACCTGTAGTGTGCGGATTTTGGTGTCACTCTGTGTCTGAGAGGACCCTCAGGGCTTTATGAGCCAGCTGAAACCAATGCACTTTTCTTCATGCCCTTGGTTAAATCTCACAGAGGCAAGTTACAGCAGATTGTGAGGATTACTACTTCTTTTTTTCTCTCAAATATTATTTTTAGTGACATATCTTACTCATTCCAATATATCCTTTCCCTTCTCATACAGTTCTGTTGTAAATCCCATCTGGTGGGGTTATATGATCATCAATGTTATCAACTCTCCTCGCCCCACCCCACTCATTTCCCATACCCTCTGGAAACGAACTCCTGTCAGTGTCTCTGAGGTGTCATCTGTCTTGACTACCGAGTACCGAGCAATCTTAAATGAAGATTGCACAAGTCTAACATGACCAATAAGGTATATCAGGTACTCACCACAATAGTAAGGGGAGGAGATCTTAAAATAAGTAGAGGATAGTTATGTGGTGCATCAGTGCCACGTTGCACTCTGGATTTATCCTCCATTCCATGAGGCCCTATTAAGAGGGACCGTCCAATTGTCTTGTTGGCGGACTTTGCATTCTCATTCATATCAATTTGGATGCCTGCTTTTTGAATTTGTACTACCTTTTTCCATTGATACCTCATGATCACACATGCTGGTGTCTTCTTCCATGTGGGCTTTTTTGCTTCCCTGCTAGATGGCCGCTTGTTTAATTTCAAGCCTTTAAGACCACTGATGTTATAGCTTTTGATAGTCAGGCACATACATAATAAAGTGGGCTGTGCCTTAACCCTAAAGGTCCCTGAGTACATAGGAGGCGTAACCTAACACCAGTACCCAGGGCAGGTAAGGGGGAGCGGCTGTCCTCAGACCATAGAGAGCAATAGCACATGTCTGCTCCCATAGATAAAGCTGCCGACTACATAGCGATGTGCTTGTAAGAGGTAACTAGTGTAATGCTACTATGGGAGGACATAGTGGGGAAGAATATTAATTATGAGAATGTGATTGGGACTCACCTCCAACTCACATGGGTGAGGCCACCCCAGAACCCCAGCCTGCCAGACTTCTTAATATATGGGAATAAAGAATTCATCCATATGCACTCTCTTCCCGTTCTCTGCTTCCGCAGGAGTCTTTGGGGTTCTCAATACATAAAATCACATCATCTGTAAATAGCGATAATTTCACTTCTTTCCCCGAGCATATAACTGTGACATGCTCCCTTGCCTTATATTATTAGCTAGGACCTTCAGGATGATGTTGAATAAAAGTGGGGACAAGGGCACCCTTGTTGGGTCCCCTTATTGGGTGGGGATATTTTTGGGTTTTGTGTATAGTTTTTATTATATGAAGGTAATTTCCTTCTAATCCTATCTTCTTGAGTGTCGATTAGGAATGGGTGTTGAATGTTGTCAAACGCTTTTTCTACATCTAGTGATATTATCATGTGGTTCTTGTCCTTTTTCTTGTTAATTTTATGGATAATGTTGATGGTTTTTCAAATGTTGAACCATCCCTGCATCCCAGGTATGAATTCCACCTGGTCATGAGGGATTATTATTTTTTATATACTTTTGTATTCTATTGGCCATAATTTTGTTGAGGATTTTTGCATCTATGTTCATAAGAGATATCGGCCTGTAATTCTCTATTATTTTTCTTGTTTTTCAAAAATAATTTTATTAGGGCTCATACAACTCTTATCACAATCCATGCATACATCAATTGTGCAAAGCACATTTGTACATTCATTGCCCTCATCATTCTCAAAACATTTGCTCTCCACTTAAGCCCCTGGCATCAGCTCCTCATTTTTTCCCCTTCC